ATGCCATCTGGGCATTACAGAGTATGATATTATTTAATTAGAATCAGATAAAATTAAGTAAGAAATGAATGCCAGCAATTATATTACTAGCTAATAAATATAATTTCACAGTGTTCTGTAGATATCCCCAAATGTTAATTATAACAGGAGCAGTTAAATTCTTTGGCTATGAAAGCATACCCGTTTTTAATAGATGTATCACCTGGTAACCTTGGGTGTTATTAAGTATTTGGAGACTGAAAGACATGGTAGAAGCAATGGAAAAGTCTGGCCAGACTGAGTAATTTGTTTTAGACCTATGGAGAAATCTATTAACCATTTCTTCTATAGGCCAATTTGATTAGGAACTAGGACAAGCTGTTCTTTCATTACTTACAAAAACCATACTGCACTTTGTATCAATTATTTGGCTGTCTGCAGCACATAGATTAGAATAAAGGGCTTTCTTAGTGTTTGTGAACGTTGTGGATTGCTGATTAGTAATTAAAGTACTGGATGAAGAAAATTAGGCCAAAACTGAATGGGAATGAGAAAGTCTTAATTCTGAGATACAGATGTTAGAAACAGATTGTGTCGAGCGGCGCATTTTACATAGTGACATTACATAGCTGTGGAGTATTTCCCTCCCACGTAAAATTCGAGTCCAATGCCTTAGAGATGGTTTCTTCTCCCATGCCTTGTGATGTCGCTGTATGAGTATTAATTTAGTGAAATATCCTGTCTGCCAGGTGTGGGAACTAGCTGATTTTATTGTAATGCCAGATCATTACTTAATTCATATGCAACAGAGTGCAGCACATGGAAAGCATTTTAAATCTATTTACAATGTGGCTGGTCTGATGATAACATTGTATTAAATTCCCAGGTGAGGCAATTTAAGCAATTGCTTTGCCATGTGCACGCCATGGAAATTAAATTCTCATATACGCTTTAGTAATAAACCAACTTCATTGTTATGCTTATGCTAGTGGCGGGTTGTAGAATCCTCGTTCTGGTTACATATACCCCATTTCACACGTAGAATCATGTAAGAGGCGGTACCACGGATCACACTTCTTAATTAGTTTAAACTCAGTTAATTCATTTTGTTTCTAATTTCATTCACAGCCCCTGTCCAAGAACGCATTCAGTTCAGCTGGGAAATGTTAAGACTTGGGTCAAGTAGATAGATTGCTTCAAGCCAAATTTCCAGACAAAACTGAATAAGTGTATCTGTTTGAACTTGGCCTTAAGAAAATCACCAATCAGTATGCCAAAGTCCTATTCATATACCTAGTGAAAACTGCTTTAAATCTGAAATTTGCATCTTTATAACCAAAGGCTCACATTTGTCATCAGTTTAAAATGACCGTTGAAACTTTGTGTGTCCTGCTTCCTCAGAATAAAAGTCAGTTGTTAATTTGTCATATATTTTCTGTAGTTCGTACATGGTCTGTAGTTTTTTGTCCAACTATGGTGCACCTGAGTATATAAGTTGGGAGGAATAAGCTTTACACAAACACACAATTAAAAGTGAGGAACGCACTTGCGTTTAACACTTTGTGTGTGTATGGCAAATATTGTCAGTTGAAGCTTTTTCACCCTTATGGTACAGACCAGAAATTGCAGTAGATTACAAACTGCATAGAGCTTCTGTTGTCTCCAGAAGCCACATATAAAGCACCAGTAGACAGTGGTAACTGACAACTAAGACTAAAAATGTTGACAATTTCTTGATTTGCCTGGTTAGCTTATGTATAGAAGTCATTAACTATTTATAAAATGCATTATGAATTGGGTTCCTTCAAACTATAGATGAATGTGTGACATTTCCAGCTCAAATTCTCATGCTTGCATTTGGCTAAAGTACAGATTTATATACAGCTGATAATAAAGTAAAAATATTTTAGTTAGGTTTATCAAGCTACAATAGATGTTTCAGTTTCATTAACTTTGAACCCCCAAATTAAAGTAGTAGTTAGTAATGTAGAGTCAGATTTTTTAAAATTCCATGAAAGGTAAGATAATTTTTTGATGCTTTGGAGGAAAATTACCCACAAAACAAGCAGTTTGTCATTCAAAGGAATTTGCCTTTTCTGGTATTCAATTAATTTAGTGGTGGTCCTGCAGGCTAATTTATGGTTGATTACAATCAGCTTCCTTAAATTTTCAAACCTTAATAAATTGCGAGAAAATACCAATATGGGGCATCTAAGTACAATTCTTAATAAAGCAAGTCTTGATTCCCCCCCACCCCTTTGTAAGTGGATCTCAATTGTAAAGAGTTCAATTTTCATTATTGGTTGTGTCATTTTCATGTGGAACTATTTCTGGTATTTGAAATGACTTGTCTTTTTCATTCCTTAAGAGAAGTCAGTCCTGTCGGAGAGCACTTTGTAAATTTAGCATATCATTTGCTTAATTACATCCAGAAAGCCATCCAAATGACCAGGTTTTATCATCCTGATGGTAAAGAATGACATTTATAGGGACCACCCTTCAACTGTGGATAATCCTTAGTTCTCCTCTGTTGCTGAGCATTACACTCTTAATTACTGGTTTTCAAAAGCAAGGGATTCTAACCAAAACAAGATTAGATATTTAGGGATACACATTTGTAATTTTCTTCTTCTTTTGAAGTATAGTAAATCATAATAAGAATATAATATAATTGAATGATCTATGCCAATTTGTTAGTATTTTGGTGAAAAAAGGGAAAAACAAAAACAATCTCCATATGATATTCTTGCATACTGTGGAATGTTTTAGTCCCCCATAGTGATGAAATGAATAATTAAAAAGGCAGCTCTGATACCACAGCCTGTTTAAAGGTTCTCATTTCCTTTAATGCTTTAAAATACTTTTGCTCAGCTAGTTTGAAACTGCTGTAGTGGGGATTTCCAAATGGGCAAAAGAAAGGTTTGGCTTGATCTAAATACTGTAGTAAGGCCGTGAAGTACATTCTCCTTGTAATTTAGCATTTTTCAATACAATTTGGTATGAAGTCAATAAAATTAACTAATTAATAGTATCGGCAGTAAATACAACGAGAGAGGAAAACTTAATATATGCTGTTTGCTGGTGATAGGAAGTCTAGTGTGTTCATAAACGAATGAGTTGGACCACTCCTGAATTGCCAAGAGATGTGATGGAAATGTCTGTATTGACCTCGGGCTAATGACTTAACTTCTCCACTTTTTCCTGCTGTCTGCAATAGTGTTGGCTTTTTTTACTTTTCCAGATGAACATCACTAATTGCATTTGCCAAGGTATAAGACATACATTTGTGGCAGAGAGTAGAGGAGGGGTTTGGGGTAGAGATGCGGGTCAGGGAGGGGATGCCACCATCTTCTTTATACTGAAACATTTTGCACTTCTTGTACTTTTCTCCTCAGTGTATCCGAAGGTGATATAACGGGGAAGAAATTTTGTGTGGTAGAATGGGCACTGAGATACGAGTCAGGACCCCACGGTTCTAGTCTCAGTTCAACCAAGGCTACATTTAGAATTCCATGGGGTTCAGATTTTTTTTTTCTATAAAATAAAGAGATATTTAGATTTATTTATCTATAGTTTATATTCCATCACCCTCTTTCCACTGGTTCTGCCAGAGAGGCCCCATGCTGTAAGACTTTTGTTGTATGTAATAAATTCTCTCTTAGTTACTTATATACTTGGGAGAATTGAGAAACAGTCACTGAAATAATTTTGTTTTGTGGTTCAGATGAGGGACCCCAGTTGAGTCTTGGTTGGTCTTATCTAAAGTCCTTTTAAATCCTGATATAATATAATTTTATGTTCAAGGTATGAAGGCGGCAAAGCAGAGTTATTCATTCACTAGGTAAAAAAATCTAATTAAAAATCTTACTGTTGACTTCTGCTCACAGATTATCAGTAGTCCCTTTAAACTACTTTTTCGGATGACAGTTTAGCAGGTAAGAAATATTAAGTTCTAAACTGAAGTACCCAAGTGAGAAAGATTATTTGCCTGAATGCTTTTTTTTTTTAATTGACTGTTTTTGCTTAGTTACTTCAGAAGCAGGAAAGGCAACAAAGTAACTGATAAATCTACATTTGGGTCTGAAATAGTAATGCTGAAGTAGGATCTGGGACTGTACTCAGCTTCACAACTAATTTCCAGAGCCTTTAAGTTTTTCAAATGTGTGTACATTTAGATAATTCATGGATTGCTTGCAGCTATGTCCCTCTGACTTTACAGGTAAGGGTGGATTTCTTGTAAAACAAAATTTCAGTGTGTGAAACATTGACTCATAGCCCACTTGCTTTTATTTACTGAAACTGTGAAACGTTGACTCATAGCCTACCTGTCTTTATTTGCTCAGATTGGAAAATTTGTTTTACCAGACACAGGCACAAACACACACAGACATACACACACACACCGTTACTTTTCCTTAGTCCATTATTTATAGAGGGCTTGGGGACATATAATTATTCTTTGGAAAAAGGATGGGCTTTTAAATTCTCTCTTTTTCTGGTTAATAAAATCACAATAATGAAGGAAATATAGATGTGCTATTCCAGGCATTCCAGAGAGTATAGTTGGAGATATTCTAGAAGTAGAGGTTTTTAAAAAACTTAAATTGTATACTCCATTTCCTGCCACAATATTGAAGACTCTCATATCCTCCTGTTGTAATTACCATCTGGTAAGTTTTGCAGATATATAGCTATGTAGATGTATTTCCTTCCGCTTAGTGGTGTAATTTGAATGACTGTATGGAATAATATATGTTATGATGCATTTATTAATATTAATAGAGTACTCATACAGTACAGAGTTTTCTTTCATTATTGTCATTTAAAAAAACTCTTCTAATTTACAGTAAACTTCTTAAGTTCAAGAACTTTATGCGACTTTAGTTTGCAAATTTTAGCAAATAGGTTTCCATTAGGGGGCTCTCAAGGTTTGAGATGATCAGCCTTGATACCAATAATGCTTCGAAGCCTTTACTTTCTAACGTTCGTCTTGCTCTCTCCCTTTTTGTTTTGTTTTATAGAAAAGGTCACGGATCGCCTACAGTGACGAAGTACGGAATGAGCTCCTAGGGGATGATGGGAATTCCTCAGAGAACCAGGTAGAATGCTAATCAGGAAGGCCCGGTGGGTGGCTGGAGGGTGAAGGAGGTCACTGGCACATTGGGCTCTCAAGCTGCTCCTTAACAGTATTAGCAGCAACTCATGTGGAAGCGATACTGTTTAATGCAAAGCTGGAGTCTTAATCAACTTCAAAATGTTTCTTGGAGATCTTACATTTAACCCTTTACCTTGTGATCACTGTCTGCTATCTTTAAAAAAAATCTTTTCTTCTCTTTTCTTTATTATTTAGTACTTAAGGAATAACTTGAAACACACTGTTTGCAGACAAAGCCAAGGTCTTCACCTCAAGCACATGTAAAAGGAATAAAAAAGTACATAATACAGCTTTGATAATAATGCAGTATAATTAAATCAACACTTGCAACAAAACAAATGAAAGTAAGCTTTCAAAATTCAACAGGGTGGCTCGGGCTCCTATTGTGTAGCTTCTTAAAAATATATTCACCAGAATGCAAATTGTAAGCACCAGTGTGGAACTTGGATACCCATATAGAGTACATGCCTCTGTTAAATAATAATTAAAATAATCATAATAATAGGAAAGGTCTTTTTCAGTTTAAGATATTCACAGGCAAAAAATAAGATGCAATTTTTTCTTAAAAGGGCCTTAAATTTGGCTATAAGTTCTCATTGGATCACACAGTAGTGCCAGAGGAGTCTAATTAATGTCTCTTTTCTTTCTTTGAATTAAAACTGCAGACTTCTTTAGCTTGTGTAGATCATATATATATGACTTAAAAAAAAAAAAGTTTCAAGAACCTTAGCGTAGAGCTGACTTAAAAAATGTCTCAAACAATCTTAGCGACTGTTTTCTTTGACATTTTTAAGAAAATAAATGATAGGGAACTTCAGAAGCAAGACCTGAACGTGTTTATTAGTGTCTCTTTGACAAGTATAGTAAAGGTCTCTACTCTGCCTAAATAAAAATGAACATAAATTATTCATTGAGTGAACCAAACATTTTAATAAGGTAGTAAAACATGGTATGTCAATACACATTATAAATATTGAATAATTATATTTACCATCTCAAAATATTATATTTCTATATATGCTGATATACTACTACTATCTACTCTAAAGATACTATTATAAATTAAGGCTCCCCTTCTACCCCCCAGCCCCCACCACCCCCCCAAAAAAGGAGAAGAATTGCTGAGCTTATTGTTTTTTGAAAGATTTCCCCTTCTCTACTGTTTGGATATTATCAGCTTGAGTTCAGGCATGTAAACACGTTTAAGATTTGACTTGGGATTTCAGCCTCCCTGATTGAAATGTGAGAATAACTAAGGAAAAAAAAAAAAATAGGGAGCACACCAAACATAAAAGAATGATGTGATAAAGGGGTTTTACTCATAATAGATTAAATAATGTGAGGATGAGAGAAAAATATTTTCTTTCTATTTTAAGGGAGATGTAGATTGCTCATACCTCTTGATTGAATCATAATTTCATTTCTTATCCTTTACTGCAAAAAAAGCATTATCTTGTTCTTAAAAAAAAAAAAGCGAATGCCTAGTTCCCATATCAACTCTTTAAAGAGCTATAGATCTTTCCCTCATATTCAACTAGTGCCTAATGTAGAGGAAATAGAAAGGAAAGGGGTGTTTCTGTCTTACTCAGACTCCTTTATTGTAATGGATGTTGTAGTACTGTGACAGGGATCTTTTTTTTTTTTTTTAAACATGTTCACTTCTCTTAATGGACATTTTATGTGCCTAAAACATTTGCCTTACATACATATAAGTATGATTATTTTATGCCTAAAGAAAAATATTCCACAAAAATAGATTGAGTTCATATTTTCTGAATTTTTCAAATTATATCCCTGTCACTTTAAAGTGATGATGCAGAGATTTCCCCTGGACTTGTATAAATCAAACTTACAAATTCTGAAAGTGCTTGGAGAACCTGAAGTTTAGTCGTAAGGAGCTGTCACTTCAATAAATAGAGTATGATAAATTATAGTCATGAGAATATGTAACTGTTAGATTATTACTTATATGAACTTTCCAGTCTAAAATTTGAATTAGGTTTGAAAGTTCAAAGAAATTACGCTTAATGTTTTGGATATTTTGCTACCAAATGTAGCAGAATTTCCATATCAAGATGAAATCATTAAACTTTGTTTTTAGGCTCTTTATCATAATATAGGAATTAAAATCCTTCAAACTGAAACACATGCTTATCCAGGTATGGTCACTTGAGAATAACTCTTTAATCTGTATCAGTATTCATTCAGACTATGGAATCAAAACAGAAGCTCTTTTCTTTAAAGAAAGAAAAGGTTTTAACTTGGCTCTTCATATTAATTCTTGTAGCTCAGTGGCTGAGAAGATAGGTTTTTAGGGGGGTAGGATAAAATATAATTTATATAAGAAAATGTTTTATTTCCATCAAGAAGTTTATTTTCAAGTTAATTTTTGATAAATTCATTTTTAGAACTCCTTGCCCATGTAATATTTATGATAATCTTTTAATATACAGAGAAAACATGGAGACAAAATGTGACAAAAATAGCAATACTCATTTAATTGAAATTGGGGTATATCTGTCAATTAAAAACATAGATCAGAAAACGAAAATAATAAAATAAGTTCTAGAAATGTTTAAAAATAACTAAAATAAACGAAGTACTGACAGTTTAGTTATTTTCAATATGATATACTCATCCTCCCTAGAGTGGCTTCTTTGTGAAGATTTAGACAAATGTGAACGTAATAATTATTATTTCGTATTCTGACTGCTTATAATGCAGTTTTTAATGCATCTAAAATATGGTTATTAATAGAATTATAATCTGCCAATTAACTATAAAGTGTATTAACTCTTAGGTGTATAAAAATTTCTGCCATGATTAGATATGTAAAAATTTCAGAAATGAAGAATTTTTTTAATGCATTTTTGATGTTCCCCATAGAATACACAATTTCATTTAATTTCAAAGTAATTACATAGTATAGTCTATTCTGATTCATATCCATTACATACAATCAAATATAACTCATCCCTGATTTACAAAGAAGGAACGGAATTATTTACTTTGTAGATTCAATTGTTGTTTGGGTTATCAGCTTTGCAAGGACTATTGTCTTCAGCATTATCATTCAATTTTTTAAAAAATATCCTATTTGTATTCCAGATGGCAACATTTTATTATTTCTTTGAAAAGAGATGAGTTCTTGAGTATTGCTTTATTTAGAGTGGAAACTTTAATAGTTGTTAACTTGATTTAATTTCATGACAGCCATTCTCCAAAATGGAAAAACAACTTATAGAATTAAAATCACAAAGCTTTCCATAGTGGAGAATGAGAAGGGGGCATATTTAAGTTTCTAAGCCCTGCTTTTTGAACCCTAATAGTCTCTCGGTTTCCATATGCAAAATTATATTGATCAGTGACTTTTGAGTAAATCCTAAATAGAAGGTTTAAAAAAAAATATATGAAGAGTAGGATATTTCCAAACGTGCCGAAATTTTTGTGGTAAAGCAGTATTTAGCAGATACGTTTACTTAATTTTTTAATACGAGGTTCTCTTAAGTTCCGATTTGGGCTTTCTGTGCATAAAGTGTGTCAAACTTCAGCTCCAGACCAGGGGGTGAACTCGGTCAATTTAATTCCCCAAGATCTAAAGAAGGTCGGTATCATTTCATATAGCCCTGGCAGAGCAGATCATTACCAGGCACAAATCTGTTCGTTACGTGCTGAGGGTTTATAGCAAAATAAATAGACTGTCATCATAAGTTCAGAAAATTGTGTGTTCGACCCACGATAATGTGTAAAGGGCGTTTAATAGAGTTCAGCATTTATTCGTTATCTGTATGCGGACAGAGACGGCAGTCACGTTATCAGCTTAAAAAAAAAAATTCGGTAGTTCTGGGGGTCACGTGACGCACCTCACACACACACTCACACACACACACAGAGACACATACACAGAGACACAGACACACACGCGCGCGCGCGCGCGCGCCTGAACCCTCACATGCTCTGCAGTGCAGTTTTGATTTTAGTCACAGCAGAAGGCTTAACCACAAGAGATTCCACTCGTTCAAACCAGCGTAAACCAGATTTTTTCAGCCCACAAAGGAACAGATTACTTCGTATATCAAATTTCGCACTGGGGGAAAAAAATCTTTGTTTCAAAAAAGATGTTGATTATCCTGCTTCAACATGGTGGCACTGCACACTTCCATGTCGCCTGTGATGGAGCTAGTAACTCGATAAAATATGAAATTACGACTTTTGGGCTAGTCTAAGCATTGCCATCTTTTGTTTAGTTGAATGAATAATTCTCAGCCTAACTTAAACACACACACACAACACACACACACAAAGATTAAAAACCCTCCCATGACCTAGCTTAGCTACAAATCCGGTGTAGAGCTTGAAGGCAGCCATGCAGCACAAACAAGATAGAACGTTTTTTGTTTGGAACCTATTGAAAAAACAAATGGGGAGCATTTTTAAACACTCATTGATTATGGCAGGGTGGCATGCCCCAAATGGTCTCCATTGCTGAAGAGTAGTTTTAAACTTTGGCCCTTTAAGTATCATAGTCAACTGAAGAATGGTGTCCCCAGAAAGAAAAGATAGCTGTTCGATCAATGCCCAGATCGTCTCTTTCTGAGAAGAATTAATGTTTGTCTTTTTCTCCCATGATGTTCGGAGAGCAAGGAGAAAGATTCTGATATATGATAGGCCAGACATTTTAGTTTAAAATTTAACTTCTTCTGGGGAACAATAGTAACTTTTCACGTGAAATGATTAGATGTTTTACTGGTTCACACAGGACTGTTGCTGAGAGAATATCAATTAAAAATAATGTAACTTCTTGTGTATTTTGAAAGGATGATATTAAAAGTTTCATTTAAATGCACTATGAGACATTATATAATAGATTCTCTACCCTTTTTATAAAGGTTTCATAACAATTTTGAAATCTCATTCTTTTGTACTTGAAACGCTTTTCATATA